CCAAATAATTTTAAATTATTTTTTCAAATTCTATTCATAGGCTAACATTTTTAATGAGTAATAATATGAAAGAATTCATCACTAACTGTCTTTCAAAAATAATTCAACCCAAATTACCGCATCCCATATTTCAGCCCCCAAGCAAAACCCAAGTCCAACAAATGCAAATTTTCCCGAGCGCTATGTGCATATATGCATATGTAGAAACTCCATTTAACGCAGAACAATCATGCAATTTTGTTTCCAATCATTCAAGATTGTATTTCAGAAACAGTAATGAACAGATTTCAAATATAAATTAGGCTAACATGGTTAACTATTTTAACATCTGCATAGCAAAATAGCACATCTGAAAACTAATTGGTAATACAAAAAAACATATATAAAAAGTATAAATAATAAAAACCAAAGATTGATGCAAAAGGTAATAAAAACGAAAGATTGATGTAAAATTAATTTCATCATTATGAAAAATGAAAAATTCATAATCGAATATGACCAAATGATCAAATATATAACAGAATTTCACGTGAGTAAGTATATTAAACTAATTAATGCAACTTTATCACTTCAATGCATTTTGTTGTTATAATTTTTCACTATATGAATGATTTTAAATTATTGATTGGTTCAATTGAAAAAACTTTTCAAATCTATTTCCAAACATTCCATTGCTTCAACTTTATTTTATCATATTTGAATCAGAGCATACAATACATGAAAAATACACACGAAATTAAAAATATAAAAATAAAAGTTAAAAATATATGCAGAACTGTAGGATAATTTGATGAGCTACAAACTATTTATTGCTGTTGAATTTTAATTTCCAAAGTAAAATTCAAACATATATATATATAAGGAAAATTGAAATGGTTAAGTTTTTTTTTTCTTTTAAAATAAACGATAGTATGAGATAGAATGTTACTAACTTTGAACTACTAACTAATTCAAAAGAAGTTCAAAACGAATTGTTCGTTTTATAGTTTTAAAATTTTCTAATGAACTAATTTTTTTCTTTTCTTTTAAAAAAAAAATCTTTTTGTAATTATGTCAACAATTATTCTTTCTTTTTCCCTGTAATTTCCCGGTTAAAAGGTCGATCAGAGTTTTTTTTTAAACTTTTTAAAATGCCATTCTTTCCTTCATCAATTATACTTTCTTGATTTTAAATCACAAAAGTGTATTACAGAAGAAATAGATACAAAGGATACATTGATGGAATAAATGAATACAGGGATGGATAAGTTTTATATAAGTTATGCAGATGTTAAAATAGTTTATTGATAATAAACAAAAGGAAGCAGTATTATACAATCAATATTTCAAAATTTTAAAATTTAAAATTTTTGAAAATGATATTTACAGTGCTAAAAATGGCAGTTGAGAGTTTTCCACCTGAATTAGTCGCATTGAAGAAACTTTAGGAAAACGATGAAGAAAAAAAGACATTTAGCCATAGATGATTAAAAAATTGCTAGGATTTTTTCAAAATGATTGTAATTGACAAAAATTTTTGCATTTTAAAATCTTGAGAAGCAAAAAAAAAAAAAAATCACTTGGTCTAATAGAAATATCAAATAAAATGTTTGAATTATGTAAAAAATATGCCAAATAAATTTAGAAGTTAAAATCAGTGTTTACGTGTACGCTTTTTTTTCAAATCATGCAGTACACTTTTCAATTTTTCACTTTTTGTTTGTTCCGTAAAAAAGCGAACTGTTGGCGGTAATTGATTCAAAATTAAATTTCGCATTACATCTACATGATAAGCTTCAGTTCTACCAGCGTAACTTACGCGATAGTGAAAATTTCCAACGCGGCTAACTGATCTTTCCTACAATGTTATATTCAATTATTAGTTACATTTTTTTTTCCTCGTACCTAACATTTAGCGCTTTTAATAATAAATTATGTATTATTCGACTTTTTGAATCCATTTGTCAGCTAACAAAAAAAAAAAAAAAAAAAAAAAAAAGCTGAAAGTAAGAGTTTAATTGAGAACAGAAAGTAAAATAAAATACAAGAAAATGTGAATATTCACATCTTTTTATTCACTTATTCATTACTTTTAGAATGAAATTTTTCGCAACAAATTCTTTTGAAAGTTATCATTTGAATAGAATTTAGAATGTAATTTCAGGCCAATTGCAGATGATAAATTTACGGAACATGCAGAAATGGAAAAATTAAATCTTTGAAAATATTTGCTGTGAAAGAATTGTGATACTACAAATTAGTTTTGACTTACTTGACTGGAAGCAATAGCTTCACGATAGATATCTGCTGCTTCTTGCATTGCAGTATTAAATTTTCTAAGCTCATCCAATCCTATTGCTGGTCCTTTTCCTCTCCTAATGAGAATTAATGCTTGTAACTAAAAGGAATTTTAAAGAAAACTCAAAAAAAAAATTTATTCTTTAGTTATTAAATGATCTGCTTTGTCTAATTAATATTGCTTGACAAGCTTAATTGATGTTTATCCATGTAGTTAATTCAGTCTTATCAATTTAGTAGATGGAGAAATAGTGTAATTGATAATAGAGATTTAAGGAATGAAGAAGGAATTAAATTGAATAAATAAGAGCTAGAATTGAATCGCTAAATGTTACTAAATCTGTGTAACATATAATAAATACAAATGTCCTATTTCATTTTTTTTTTTTTTTTTTTAGTATATTACATTATTGAGATTATTAGATTTAAATTTCAAAAAAAGAAAAAAAAAAGATAAAAATGCTTTTTGATTGAGAAATACAATAGGTTACAATATGCATTAATTGTAACCTTACTGCAAAAGAAAATATAAATTACCTGTGCAGCAGTATTCCATATCAGTTCGCTATCTGCTTTAGTTGCTTTCAATATTTCAACTTTATATTTTTCATTTTCACTAATTTCTCTGTGATCTGAGGGATTAAAACATGGTACCTGTAAGGGTTCTCCACTTGCTGTTGATGCTACTGCAATAAATAAATTTGAGAGCTCATTATCTATTCTAATCATTATAAATTACAAGATTTATAATCAATAAAAAATCTGTAGAAAATGTTGCAATATTTTTTTTTATAATTGATAAAATTTTATAATTAATAAATATTGGATAATAAGTAATTATTCCCGGGATAATTCGGATGTGTTACTGACAAATGAAAGCTTTTTTTTTTCCTTGCATTAACTATGATATTGCAATGCAAACAATTTAAAGATCAAACAGAGCAAATATAGAATGTAAACTTTTTTATTCTTTCTTTCCAGAGCAACTTGCCTTAATTGATGTATACAAAGCTAAGTTATGCTCCTTTGTTTGTTTTTTATTATGAAAAAAATTGAAACAAAAAAAAAAAAAAAAATGAAAACAAAGAGAAATATGAAATAATTGAATAACCTGGTGATAGCTTTAAAATTTGTTCCAAATATTTTTCCGCATGTATTCCAGCAGTTCGTTCAATATCAACTCGTCCTACATTAGATGGTACTGCCATCATTAAGCATTTTACATATTGTGCCCAGAGCTCTGGTACCGTTAAATTTTCGAGGACCTTTTCACTTATATTTGATGATTCATCCGGTGCAGATGAGATAGTTGAACCACTTGGAGCAGTGGAAGTAGGATTTGATGGTTCATCTGATATGAATGAGATAGAGGAAGTGCTCGGTGTGGCGGAACTTGACGGATCCACGGAACCAATTTCCGGTCCAGCCTCAAAGAAAGGTTCAAATGAAGAAGAGGTCTCCAATGTTTCATCGGTCTCTTCTCTGCTACTTTTTTTCGATTGTTTCCTACTCATTTTCGAGAAATCTAAAATTAACTAATCAGTTTTTCTTAAATTACGCAACCGCAAAAAAAAAAAAAATATGCAAAAAAAAAATCGGTCCTGAACAAAGCAAAATTAAAATATATAAAAGTTCTGTTGTAATTTCTTAATTAGTAAAATCAATTAGTTATTAAACTATTCAATAAAGAATGATAATGACAATACGTAATAAAAATATAATAATTTAAAGAACACAGAAACTTGAATGGGTAATGAAACATTTTTGATTTAATTTTTATTTAAATAATATCGAATAGATATAAATTCGAAATTAAAATATGAATGTTTTAAGAAATTTCCATATTATCATATGGCGAAAAAGAAAGAAATGGACTTATATCGTACTTCAGTTGTTATCAATGTATATTAAAATACTAAATTTAAAAACCTCAAACTTTCTACACCATTTGAAGAAATGATAAAACAATTTTGTTGCAGAATGTAAGTGATAACATTATTTAGCTATATGAGAATGTGGGGAAAAATAAGACAAATGAATCAGAATAGGATAGAATTGAATGATAAGTAAACGAGCTTGAACAATGAGAAATAACAAGAATCAAATAACAATCCCAGTGAAATAAAAAGTATATTTAAAATAAAGAATGCAACAACAACGAAGAACAAACCAATTAGATGATTTTAGCTTGATGATAATTAAACTGCGATCATCACATACAGTGATCAAAGTAAAATGAATAAACTTAATGAGAATGAAAAAATAAAACAGTATAGTTAATTGTAAATAGTGATAGATGGATATTAGGAGTGAAAATTAACTTTTCAGTAAGATTAAATGTTCTAAGCATAGAATTATAACAACTTTTTTACTCTGATAAATTAAAAACGAAAACGATCATATAATATCAATTAATCAAATCTTAGTTCAATGTTATACGGAAATCGAAAAACGATCGTAGTATTGGGTATCAAAAATTATACAGTAATCGAAAATGATCGTAGTATTGGGTATCAAAAATTATACAGTAATCGAAAATGATCGTAGTATTGGGTATCAAAAATTATACAGTAATCGAAAATGATCGTAGTATTGGGTATCAAAAATTATACAGTAATCGAAAATGATCGTAGTATTGGGTATGAAATTTTTGGATTCATTTCATTCATTGTATGATAATGAAGAAATGATCAAATAAATTAGCTATCAAATTTTAGTAATTACTAAACAGTAATTGTAACTGATTCATCTTTTGCTATTTCACAAATCATTGCATTTCTGTAAGCAGTCAAACCAGGAACTCCCGGTATGAGACTGAAGAATTGTCTTTCAATTCGTGTAGCAATTTCAAAGGATTCTTCCCTAATTGTCGTAAGTGTAATTTTGTCAGGTTTAATTTTATCTATAGCTTCCATTAATTCTGGATTTTCTCTCAAGCGTTCCAATAACTGCAAAAAAAAAATTACAAATGCAAAGAAGAAAACTGAAATTGTGAAAAAAAAAATACATTAATCATTCAGAAGGATGAAAAATTGAATAAATGATTAAAATAATTGTATGTAATTTGTTTCAATCGAATTTGATTTGTCAATGATCATAAATTTGAATCAGAAATGCTTTTCAAAAGTAATCAAGAAAAAAATTAGGAAAGAAAGATTTACGTTATTAGCATTATATTCTGTTGGTTGATTCATTATACCTGCATATTCAGTATCAATCATATCTATAAATTTGTTCCATTTTTCTTGAGATTTCTCATCTAACATTGCTGCATACTTTCTCATTAATTTAATCTTTCGTTCTTGCTAAAAAAAAAATTCAAATAAAAAATTAAATTTTATAAGAAAAAACCTAAATTTTTTATAGTCACAACGAAATATGAGTAAATTTTTTTTATATATACAACTTTTACTGATTTAAGACAATTGTTCCATTTGTTTTCAGTCTTATTTAAACTCGTTCCTTTCACTCCTCAATTACAATTACTCATATTTCGTTCTGATCATGCATCAAGATATGAAGAAATGTCAAATTAAAACAAATAAATTGAAGTTATCGAGATGGATCAGTTATGAAAAAGATTTACAGACCAATTGTTTTTTGTAATAAATCATTTTAACTTAGATGAAATATAAATAATTGCGCTAATCATCATAAGTTATACAATAGATTTTTTAAAAAAAAAAAAGTTGCGCAAAAATTAATTTTATTTATATGAATAATACAAAAACAATATAAGCATAATGTTTTAAATCATCGAAAAGAAAAAAAAACTATAAACAATTGATAAAAGCGCAAAATGATTTTGCAAAACATACCACAGCACTGTTAAGATATAATAATGTGTGTATTTCTTTCCGTGTTCGCATTCGTATTTCATTCAAATGTTCTTCCATTTCATCTTTTGGTGGCGGACTTTGATCACGTCTGAACCAACAGCGCTTCAACACTTGCAAATTTTTACATTTCTTCTTCTTTTTTGGCTCTTTTTTCTCTTCTTGGCTCTCAGATGTTTCCTGTTCAGGTTTTTCAGAATCAGCCATTTGCGATGCATCATTGAACTTTTCCTGAACTTCAGTTTCAGTACACGTATCTTCACTTGAATCTGTCGTTTGTGACATACCTTGAGCTTCAGTTCCAGTAACATCTCTACTCTTCGTACCTCTACCTGAAGTTATCGTTTGTGACATACCTTGAGCTTCAGTTCCAGTAACATCTCTACTCTTCGTACCTCTACCTGAAGTTATCGTTTGTGACATACTTTGAGCTTCAGTTCCGGTAACGTCTCTACTCTTCGTACCTCTACCTGAAGTTATCGTTTGTGATATACCTTGAGCTTCAGTTCCGGTAACGTCTCTACTCTTCGTACCTCTACCTGAAGCTATCGTTTGTGACATACCTTGAGCTTCAGTTCCAGTAACATCTCTACTCTTCGTACCTCTACCTGAAGTTATCGTTTGTGACATACTTTGAGCTTCAGTTCCGGTAACGTCTCTACTCTTCGTACCTCTACCTGAAGTTATCGTTTGTGATATACCTTGAGCTTCAGTTCCGGTAACGTCTCTACTCTTCGTACCTCTACCTGAAGTTATCGTTTGTGATATACCTTGAGCTTCAGTTCCGGTAACACCTCTACTCTTCGTACCTCTACCTGAAGCTATCGTTTGTGATATACCTTGAGCTTCAGTTCCGGTAACACCTCTGCTATTCGTACCTCTACCTGAAGCTATCGTTTGTGACATACCTTGAGCTTCAGTTCCGGTAACATCTTTACTCTTCGTACCTCTACCTGAAGTTATCGTTTGTGACATACCTTGAGCTTCAGTTCCGGTAACACCTCTACTCTTCGTACCTCTACCTGAAGCTATCGTTTGTGATATACCTTGAGCTTCAGTTCCGGTAACACCTCTGCTATTCGTACCTCTACCTGAAGCTATCGTTTGTGACATACCTTGAGCTTCAGTTCCGGTAACATCTTTACTCTTCGTACCTCTACCTGAAGTTATCGTTTGTGACATACCTTGAGCTTCAGTTCCGGTAACGTCTCTACTCTTCGTACCTCTACCTGAAGCTATCGTTTGTGACATACCTTGAGCTTCAGTTCCGGTAACGTCTCTACTCTTCGTACCTCTACCTGAAGCTATCGTTTGTGACATACCTTGAGCTTCAGTTCCGGTAACGTCTCTACTCTTCGTACCTCTACCTGAAGCTATCGTTTGTGACATACCTTGAGCTTCAGTTCCGGTAACATCTCTGCTATTCGTATCTCTACCTGAAGCTATCGTTTGTGACGTTCTACCATATTCCGTTCGAGTTTCAGTTCCAGTAACCGTATCTTCACCCGAAACTACCGTTTCTGTTACATTATTAGGTTCTGTCTGAGTTTCAATTTGAGTGCCATCTCTATTTTCTGTTTCTACCATTTGTGATGTATTATTCGCTTCCGCCTGAGTTTCAGTTTGAACAGCATTATCATTTTTTGCTTCGTCTTCTGAATCTCCTTTCATTTTCCTCAAACAATTTCCACATTTTCGTCGAAGTTTACTTGCAAGATGCGGTAATTCTAAGTCATCTCGAATATGTGTATATCGAAATCGTTGTTCCATTAAATATGTCAAATCCAAACATTTTATCTCATTAGTTATTACGCTTGAGTCGAAAAAGAAATCGGAAGCGTAGTAATAATAAGGATGAAAAATGATTGTTGAAGTGAAATTATTAAGTTCATTTTTCATTTGCAATACTAATCCTCGATCGTTTATTTCCTAAAAATTAAATTAAGTTAAAAGATTATCAGAAAAAAAAAAAAAAACCCTAACAAACTTCTTATTTCATATAAATATGCATCAATATCATTTTAGACTGAAAAATGAATTTCTTAATAATTCAAGTAATTATTTTGAAATTTTAAAGTTTGAATTAAGTAGAATAAATTGACTGAAAATTGATAATGACTTACTTACCTCAAGCCAATCGCCACATAAATAGAAGAATGAATTACTCGATGACAATGGACCACTCATTTTATCGTGATGATTACCAATTCTCAAGCATCCAACTGAGCTTTATTTGTCCAAAAAAGAAAAAAAAAAGAAACAACGAAACAAAGGGCGCGCATTTGTAAGTAAGATCAAAGCAATTATTTTAGGAAAAAAAAAATTGTTGATTAATAGAGCTAAAAACTAATTCTCAAAAATTCTAGAACATTTTTTATCTCTCAAATAAAATTTGCTAAATGATAATATTAATGATATGAGTATTCATCGACTATCATTATATCATATCATCTCTATTAACCTTCTTATTGCTACCGTTATACCATTCACTTATATTAATACGTGAAATTTACTTTACAAATTGCCTTTAAATACATACAATTATCAAATTTAAATCTCCTGAAATTATTTCACACAATTTTTGCATCATCTTTGGATCATCTTTAAATAAAAATGTAAAATTTCTTTTCCCATCTTACATATTATTGTTCTTTTGATATTACTGGTGTAACATCGCTAATCTTTTGTACTGTTTATTGGCGCAATTGTCTTAAGCGGTAATGCACGAATATGTTTATTTCCTCCTTTCCTTTTTATTTTTCTACTTTTTTCCCCTTTTCATTGATATTATGTGGAAAACAGAGTAGATAAAAATTTGTTCAAAGTTGCACCTAAAATTTATTTCGTGCTTGAACAACTTTGAAAAAAAAAAAGGCAATAACATCTAACAATATAACAACAAGGTAGATTTTATTTAAAATATTTAAATGATAGGACATTTTTTAATTAATGATAAGACTGTTGAATATAAATGTGGCCATTAATGAATGATAAAATGAATATAATATAAATATGTTTTGTATTGAAAAGAATTGATTGCATTTGAGCTGTTAATAAATTTCAACAAGAATTCACGGATGTACAAATTATTAAAATTACATTAAATTAAATAATTTCACTACGTTGACACATATGCTTTATTATTTCTGTCGTTCTTAAAATGCATTCATAATGATAACTTTAAACTCATAAAAATTTCATGATGCCTGTAATTTGAATTTTTCTTTTTAAATAACCAAAATTTGCTTATGTTATGAAAAAGATTTTAATTTTTCCAGCATATGAAAACGTAAGTGAACTTCACAGACTTAAGTCTAACTTAACGTGCGACCAAATATTAAAATAATTAAATTATAAGAAACAAAACTGATGCTTTAAACAATTTCTACATTTGGGATAACAACGTTATTTATCATAAATTCAAGAAGTACAACTTTTTATCAAATTTGATATATTGATGTCGCATAATTAGCTGAACATATTAATTGACCTGCAAAAATTAATTATAAATTTTTTTATATATTTAATTTTGTTTTGTTGAATTTCATGCTAATAGAGAATTTTTTCTGAATAAGGCGTCTTTTATATTATTATTACTTTAAATAAACAAACTTTTTAAGAAAATTGCAGTTGTTTTTTTGTTTGCAAAATGGCGCTTTTGTCCATTTATAATACAATGAAATGTTAGAAAAATTACTGAAATAATATGAAAAAATTTCATTTTCTCTTTATTCTTAAATATCTCTCATATTTCATTCTTTCTATCATCCTTCTATCCATATTTTTGAAAATATTAATTACTTATCGAAAATGTAATTAACTTAATGCAATTAATCAAAAAGACTTCTAAACATTACCTTCTTATCATTCAATGAATTATTATTTGGTTGTTTTTGACCTTCTTTGAATTTTGTATACATCGCCGGCACTGATAACATTGACAGTGTAAAATTCAGCGACGACTTAAAATTACACATATTTATAATTTTCAATAGACTAATAAATTTCATAAATTATATTAAAAAGCTTGACAAAACGCTTTTCAAAATTTCTTAAACTGACATTTTTTGAATAAACGTTATCTTCGTTTTTCTTTCTTTCTTTCCTTTTTTTTTTTGAGATTTAAAAAGATTAAAAAGGTTGATTTGTAAAAAAAAAAGATAATACTAATTGATAAATCATCTTACCAATTGTCTCCTAAAAAAAAAAGCATTTAATATCTTTAAATTTTGAATTTTTTTATTTAAAATACCTATAACAATGCTATGACAACAATTTTAATTACAATATTTAAGTCCAAAAAATTTAGGCATATAGTTCTAATCAACAATTTATTAATTTCTTATTGATCAAAAGTTATCAATTCATTTTATCAGATATATAGCTATAACAATACTCCGATAATGATTTCATGCAAATTTTATTAAATAAATTCGTTTTAATTTTGAACCATTCATTTAAATATTCCTTTCTAATTTACCTCTGAATTATATATTATCGACACTATCAGTGGTAGTAATGGTAGTAGTGGCATTGTGAGTTTTATGTGAAACATTTTCGCTGGCGGATTTGTCATCGAGTTGAGGCGTTAAATTCTCCTTGGAATGAGAGGAGCTAGCATTAATTATCATTTCTTCTAAAATAAACTTTGCTGTTTTAGATCCTAACTTTGTCGGTGGTTGTGATAATTTAGAAATCGATTTAGATTCCATTGAATAACCACTTGAATCACTTGACAAACGTTCAGTTGCATTTTCCTCAACGGATAGCTAAAATAAAAAGTTCTTTTTTTCTTTTTCTGAAGAAAAGAAGTATTTACAGGGTTGAAAAAAATTCTAAAATTATAATTCAAAAATTTTTTTTTTTTTTTTTTTTTTTTTGGGGAAGGATCTCAATATTTTAAAATTTAAAACTTTTACTTGTGCCATAATATCATAATTTATATCCCTCAACTTCTTTTTTCGTCCTTTCCTATTTTTCCTAACTTTCTTATCATTTTTTTTGTAAGGCATCTTTTGTTAGTAAAGTTAATTGATTCCTGAAATTGATTAATTTAAAACTTTTATTCCTCATAAATATTTGAACTAAAATTAAAATATCAAAAAAATAGAGTTTTGAAAAGCTAATTAAGTTCTTGAAATTATGTTAAGATGTTTTCATAAATTAGCTCAAACTGAAATCATAAATTTTGTCGACATCACAAGAAATTGAAAAGATTAGCACCAAGCAGTAGAACAATATAACTGAACCTTCTTTTCTACCATAAAATATTATTAGATAATAAAGTGATTAGAGTTGATTGATTTAAGGTTAAAGATTTATACCACCCGAATAAACGATCTTAAATTTTGATCTGAACAGAGGGAAAAAGTCAAAATTTCTGATTCACTTTGCTAGAACTTTCCAAATATCCTCCATCCTGCTATTTCAACCTTTTTGTGGATCTACTCTATTCATATTTCTTGTTATTTTGCAGCTACATTTTTTAATCTTCAAAGTTTTTCAATTTAAATTTTAAACCTTTTTAAACTAAAAGTGATAAGAAAGAAAGGACAAGTATTATTTGCCAAGACTACTTCCTTACAAGTATAATGGAAATGTTTCAAAGCAGAATTTTAAAAACCTTTTTTAAACTTTACAAAAAGTTATTTTCTTTATCTCTTTAAATTTTACAAAACGTTAATTCTCTTAAAGTCTTAGCAATGAATTTTACGAAAAGTTACTTTAGATTTTGCGCTTTCATATGAATAAAATTTTATCACATTCATCAATTTTATATCAATTCAGAAAAAATCAGAATGATATAAAAGAAAACAGGAGGCAGTACACAAATACAAAAGATATTTAAATAATAAAACAATTGAAGTAACAAAGTACTATAATGTCATGAAAAGAGGCAATAATAACAAATTGCAACAGAAACATAATTTGAAATAAAGATTTCAAATCAATTCTTTCAACTTTGTGATAAATCAAAAATTCTACAAATTTTCAAATCAATGAAGCAGAAAAACAAATCTTTCACATTTATGGAAAAAATTGGAAGGAAAAAAAAAAGGAAACGAAATACAGAACGAATAAGTACAGAACACATTTGAAAATTGCATAAAAAATAACAAAGTAACAAAATGGTTGCATTCGGATTCATATGATAAAATGGTTATAATCAAAAATTTACAATCCAGATTGATATGATAAAATGATTAGAAGCAGGAATTTGTAGATGAAGTAAATAATTAAGTGAAGTGACATTTGAAAATTATTCAGTAGCAAGAAAGCATATTACTAAAAGTAACTTAAATTGCTATTTTATTTAATTTTGCACACGTTCGAGAACTGAAATCTTAACTGATAAGTCCAGAAAAAAAATTTTTAAGTAATAAACTAAAAGAAGTAACAAACAAAAGGTTTTTTTTTTTTAAATTAATTACCAATTTTGAAATGCTTTTTTGCTTTTAATTAGCAATTTTTTAATGGTTAAAGATTTGAAAATTGCTAATTACTTTTCTCAAACTTATAATTTGCATCAAAAAAAAAGACAAACAAAAAAAGAGAAATTAAATTAATAATGATATTACGGAAGAAATAGAGATATTGCAGGAGGAAAAATGATAAAATTTTATCATAATAAAATTTATTCAAATTTTTTTCCAAAAAAAAAAAACAGTTATTCATTTGAGGGAAATAGAAAGAAAATGATAGGAAATGATAATATTCAAATAATAGCAAAAGAGAAAAACAAAAACGATCAATTTAAATATTATTAATAAAAGTGCAAAAATTCCTCAAAAATCAAATGCAAATCTCATTTTAATTAACTGCGAAGAATTTTTGCTAATTAATCAAATTAATCCTTTTGTCTCATAGCTTTTTTAACTATGAAATTTGCCATACTTTTGTTCTTTCCTCATTTTAAATGCATCGTTGACAATGTGACACGATTGTTTATCAAATTTCATTCAACTTATCTCCACCACCACCACCACCACCACTACTTTTTTGTCTTATCTGATGACTTCCGTCCTTCTTCAAGTTTCTTTCGAAGTCGTCTGCGTGCTTGTTGCGCACGTTCACTCTCACTTTTTGATTTCATTTCACCCGTAATTGGCTTATTTGTTGGATATTCATTTATTTTAAAAATTATACGACCACGAATATCTTCAGCTTTTACATTTTTTAAATCCACTTTTTCATCTGCACTAATTGCACTTGCTGTTTTCTCATCTTTTGCTTGTTTCATCTAAAATTCGATAATAATTAAAGGAAAATTTAACTTTTGAAATAATCTAAATATAAGCTAAAAAGATATATTACTATTACTTGCATCTGATCTTTTCTTATATCATTGAGAAGAATTTTTGGTCAAAATTATTGCTATCTAACTTAGTTTATCTACCAAACATTAGTAATCAGATAGATTTGGCTGATTATCTCTCGTCTGATAATAAAATATACAAAAGAAACGATGGAAAATTATCATGATATGTGATATATCAGAACATGATGAGACATGATACGACGACATGATAAGATATGATCAGAAGATCAGCTAAAGCATTGTTTAATAGTTATTTGGTTACATTATATTTGATAAATTATTAACTTTAAAAAAAAAATAACAGAAATTATCATTTTAAGTTTATCATACAAATATAAAACTATTACCGCTTGCTTTGAACTTGCACTCATCTGAGACAATGATTCATTATCAGAATGCTTCATCACTTGAGGTCTCTTTTGAATTGCATATAAAGTGGATATTTTTGGCTTTTGTGTCATTCCCATACCACTTTCCTCGATTCCTTCCTCATCAAAATTTGGTGGTCCTAAAACTTTTGCTAAAATCTCATCATCATATCGAACTGTTCGAAATCCGGTCGAAGTTGATGGCTCTTCAGGATTTTCAATGTATGGTTGTTCATCAAATATTGGTAAATGTGTTGATTGTGGTGAATCAATAGCGGTATTATCTTCAGTTTGTTCACTCAAATCAGCATTATCAAATTTCTCAGCTGAAAACATTTCCGTTTCTTCATTAGCTTCCATATCACTGCTACTTGAAGGCTTCAATTTGGATTGTTTCTTTTTTGATGGAGATTTTGGATCTGATTGTTTACTTGTTGATGGTTGATCACAAAAATATTCATAAATATTTTTTGAGATTTTTTGAGACTTTTTTGATTTTCGTCGTGATTCGGTAGGATTTTGCTGTTTCTGTTCTTCTGGTTCTTCTAACAGGCGTGACAATAGATGTAATCTTTCAAAACGGGAACAAATCTAAATATATTTTAATAGTTCTAATGAAATGAAAAACACAAAAAAACAAAACAAAACAAAAGAAAGAAATCACTACAAAATTATATGAAAATATTTTGAAATGTTTCAACTGATAAATAATAATTCATTAAAGATTAGCAAATGAAGTGATAAATTTCGTTCAAATAATACACTCACTAGTAATTATTGTTCTCAATTAAATTTCATTATCAGCAATTATCAGCAATTGTTACACAATGAAATTATCATTTCATTGCACTGATCCTTTGTGAACAACTATTATAGACTAAGAAACTAGCATTAGTTCAATTTATAATGCTTTTATGTTATTCCAAATTTTGCTCATTTGATAAGATGGATTTAACGATCATTGATAACATTGAATTATTGACCCTTGACATAAAAGACTCCATTTCTTCCTTATTATCAGTTGGTTTTTTATCACGTTGTTTTTTACTCTTTTTTTGTTGATCAGAATGCTTGTCATCAGATGCCATCGCGAACTAAACATTGAATTAACTATTAAATAATAACAATTTTGAAATATATTTAAAATAGAAATATAAAATTAAAAAAATGTAATCAACAAACGCATAAGCAAGAAGTGATAAATTAATCGATAAAATAATCAACAATTCATAGATATCAAAAAAAAAAAAAAAATGCTAAATGCATCTTTAGAAAATACATTGTTTTGAAAGTATTAAATAGAAAATACTTCCAGTATACATGTTATATAATTTAATTTATTCTCTTTGCCACTCTAATTCACTTTTTGAAATTAATGAAAAAGAAACATCAAATTTGAATTCAAAATTTCTATCGTAATTAATTAAAAATAATTATGATAAAACTATTTAAATGGAAATATTAAACACCAAATATCTGTAATATCCATCAAGAAATCTAATCAAAAAGAATCCTTGATATCGATTTTACTACCACATAAATAGATAAGAAGAAAGTTTAAGTATGGCGGGAATACTTTTTTTTTTTTTTTTTGTTCTGCTTTATATTTTGTCACCAAAAATCCGTTAGAAGGCTAAAGAATTTACCAGAATCACTTTTTTTTTTTTACTAAACATTCTCGAAAAAGTGATTCAAAATTTACAAACTATCTCGAAATAACTTTCAAATAAAAATTTTAGCTATTGAAAATGCTATATGCTTTCTATTTCGTTTTTAATCGTTTGCAACATTTATCGCAATGCGCATAATTTAATTCAATAAATTATTAGCATTTAAATGTTTCAAAAATCCAATTTTTCACAGTCTATCAATCTCGGCGCCTTATCCATTATTTTCACTTTCCGCTCGAAATATTACCCAAACATTTACCGCCACTATACAACAATTTGATAGCTATTTAAATTCATTCTCAAATGGTTATAAAATTCCATTAAAAAGGAAAAAAAAAAAATTTCCAATCCTTACTGTATATATATGCTTTTTTTTTTTTTTTTGAAAAAAGTCATTTTTAAATTGCTTGGAAATTTTTGCTATGAAAATAAACAAATTAAAGCAAAAACAAAATGAAAAAATCGAAAGTAATAAACACAAATTTATTTACAAGGAAGTCATAAAATTTCAAAAAGTTTAGCGAAAAAAAAATTTGTTGTTAAAAAAGTATTCGCAAAAATTGTTTTGTTTATTAGACATCAAATTTTAGTGATAAATATTCATGAAACCATTTAAGAAAATTTCGTTTTTTGATCATACGTCATATTTGAACTAAATTAATATTTAATTTAAATAATCAATATATTTTATTTCAATATATGTTCAAATAATCAATAAATGTTTTAACAATCATTTCAATAATCAATATATATTTTTAAAAATAAATATTTAATTATGCAAATAAATTTATGATAACTGCTATGAGAAATCATTCATCATTCACTTTTCATTTCGTCCTTTCAAAATTTTCAACCTGAAATAAAGAATTCTTAAAAAGAAAAGAATCCATAAATTCAACAATATTGTAACTATTGTTATCAGTGATACCATTCACAACTCTGATGTCATATTCATTCTTGACATATCGAATGCTAAAAGTATTTCTTATTTGAAATAATTTTTGATAATTTTTTAAAGATATTTTTTTATACCCAAAAAATGCTCAGTTTAAAAGTATTTAATTCCGATGCATTAAGTTTCGTCTTCAACTAAATGTTTTATGTTTTATTCATCAAGTTCATAGAATCATAAAACAATTTATCAACTCTTTTGCTAACATCTGAAAAGTACTACTCTCTTCGGTTTCACTGAATTTTCTTTTACACTGCTAGTAGCAGTGATTTTTTTTTTTTTTTCAGACTATCATTTTATAAACAAATTTTGTTCATACTTTTTATACTGTAATAATAATTAAAACTCTTATAATTAAATCTTATGTGCTGCATTACACAATAAAAATAGATGGTGGATTAGTCAATTAAATTCCAAATCATTTATTCGAAATTATTTATGTTTCTACAGTTTAGCATTTACTTTTGACCTCTTTTGACCTTTTGGTGTTACACATTAAAAGCACTGCTTAATCTTTAGCAATATGAATATAAGTCAGCCATTTCTCGTGTTTGGATTCTAAATTTATAGTTTGAGTTGATGGCTATGATAATGATGAATTAATTAGTTTAACTCAAGAACAGAAATTTAATTGCCAAAATCTAACTGTTCTCGACGAACGGACTACCACAAGTAATCTTACTGCTTAGTGATCATTGGTCACTCTCTCTTGATTTCTTCTTCCCAACAATTTGACCTCGTAATAAAAATATATATAAAAAATTTCAAAAATATAAAAAATTTTTATAATCATTGAAAAACTTTTGAATGAAAAAGTAAGAGTAATTGGTGAATGCAAAAATTTTCCTTATATTTTCATAAAAAAAACTTTTTGAGAACTAATCAAAATAGTATTATCACTTAGCTATATCAGATGGATAACATTTTGACAGGGCCTACAACCTAACTTCACTTATAATCCCTCTAATTTTTCAACATTTAAAATTCAAGTTTAGAAAATTTTCATTAAAAAAAAACTGAGGAGCTAAAATTTCTTATAATCGATTTTGCGGGAGAAATACTTCCAGGGAATTTTTACCTTATCAATATCATAATCAAATGCTTTTATCAAAGTCACATTCTAACGCTTTCTTTAAAACCATAATCAAACACTTTTATCAAAACCATAATCCACGCAATGATTGCAACAAACTTTCTTATGTCAAAGTACCAATTATCATTATAAAAATAAACAATAATCAAAGGTTGAAATAATTATATGACAGTAAGTATAGTAAGTTTGATTTAATTCAGAATGTTATAAACCTACAAAAAGAAAAAAAAAAACACAAGGCAAAATTATAAAAAATTTGGAGAAATTAATTTGGAAGTAATAATTTGGAAATTGATAATAAAATTTGTTTGGGAATATTTAATACGAATAGGTAAAATTTGATTTAAAATAGCAACAAAAAAAAAAGAATTTCCACATTTGTTAAAAATGAAATATTTTAGTTTATTTAAAAATTGATTTATTAAAGGAAAAAGATAAAACAATGATTTTTTATCAGACACAATGAAATGACATATTAATAAATTTCAGAGAAAGAACATAACATCCGATAATATTTATAGTTTAAATAATAACGATAATCTCTTTCATTTTCGTCATTTCCACGTATTCCGGCAAAGAATTCGGTTACTCTCAATAAATCGAAAAAAGTTTTCACCAAATGTTGTTTCACTCTCTTCATTTCTTTTTTTTTTTATTAACAATTTCTTCCGTTTTTCTCTCATTATCGATCATATTATCACCATCCTCGTCATCACCATCATTGTCATCATCATCATCGTCATCATCATCATCATCATCATCATCGTCATCATCGTCATCATCGTCATCATCATCATCGTCATCATCATCGTCATCATCATCATCGTCATCATTATCATCCTCAGATTGTTCACTTTTTTCCATCCGACCAACATTTTTCGACTCTGTTGAAGAATGCGCCAAAATTTCTCTTCTTTCTGCTTCCTCACCTTTTTCTTCTTCCCTTTTATCATTACCGTCATCTTCCTCTTCTTCGTGACCTTTCTTACGTGGAACACATTTCTTCTCCTGCAGTTCAGTTCCGAAGCATTCCTAAAATTGTTGTCACTAATTAAATTAAAAAATATTTTATACTCGAATATTCATGTTATTTCATGTAGCAAAACAGAGAGAATAGTATTTTAAAAGAAAAAACAAAATAAAATAAAATTTCTTTTATGTTTGAAAGAATTATCAAAGAGAAACGATGCAAAAGAATTCAACCATATTAGTGGAATGAATTTATTCATATGTTCAACTTGGAATTTCAAATTTAAAAAGTTTAATTCAAATAATTTGTAAAAGGATTTTACAAAAAAATTAATAATTAAAAGTAATAATTAACATGAATAATAATAATAACTAATTGTAATAAATAATGCTAATAGTAACAAATAACAATGATAATAATAATAAATAAACAATAACGATGATAATTCTAAATAAAAATAATAATAATAAATCAATTTGTACATGATTTTTGCATTAAACATTCGATTTACAGTAAATAAAAACATTATTGAAACAACTAGAAAATAATAAATTAAAATGAAATTAATTAAACTCAATAAATATTCTTGTAGGTATGAAAACTTTTTTAAATCATTCAGGAAGATTTTCACAGTGATATATATTCACTAACCTCAAGTTTTTCCATCAAATTTGATGCCATTTCATATCGTACCAAACATAAAATAGCTTCGAGAGCCTTATCAATCTCAATCATTTCCTTGGCTATTTCTTCACAAAGAATTTTCATTCCTGGTGCTAATCTCCAATCTAAGGTTCGTAAAAGGTATGCTTCCTTAGCCATTTCCCATTCAGTTACCATCTAAAATTAAAATTATATTTAAATATGCTTAAAATATTTCCTAGCATAAATACATATCTTTCATCTTAAATGTCCCAGCATATTTGTGGTAAAATTTTGATAAAATTAATGATAAAGATTTCTGATAAGTGAAAAATAAGATAGAATTATTCTTGACTTTGCTTTTTTCTTAAATAACAAAATGCCAACCTGATGCTTTTCAAAAATAAACAAACGTATTAGTGTTTTAGACATGCAAATTATTTCGAGAGCAATATTAGCCGCAGCTGAAATATTTCAAAGTATTAAGCAGAAAACTTCACAACTCCTTAAGTTGTTAAAAGTATGAAATGATTAAAAGTGGAAGGATTATTGCCTGAAATATACTGAAAATTTTGCAAAGCAATTTAAATTGCTAATTTTAACAATATTTTCATTTATTCAAAATTTAAATTCGAATTTATTACAAAATCTTTTCATTAAATTTATTCTTATAAACTCTTTAAAAAAAAAAAAAAAGATATTTTGTAAATTTATTATTTTCTCAATTTTCTTTCCGTTTTTCTCCAAATTAAAATGATTTTACACGTATATATATGTTCTGTTTGAATAAATTTTATAGTATAAATGGGAAAAAATTAGGATAAAATAAAGATTAGTTCAACAATTGACAAATTTATCTAAGTGATAATAATTTTTAAGCAAGTAACTAATAACTTAGCAAAGTAAATGCAAGTAGTGATCATCTAGCAAAACAATGATAACTCCTACTTATTCAGTGATAACCTGATAAAGCACGCATGATCTGATTGCTAATATTTCTAACTATTGTTAAACTTAGATATGACAAATTGTTCGGTAGTAATTTAAATACTTTATCATAAATGAATGTAATAACATTAGTAAACATTAATTACTATTAAATGAATTAAAACATAGGTATTTAATTTACCGGATTTTTTGACATAATCTTGTCGTAATTCGGTTAATAAGGTTGCTGGCATATTACAGCTATCATCGTCTTCATCACTAGATACCTTATTATCCTCTTTGTCCTCATCTTCCTCATCCGTTTCTGATCCAGATTCTTCATTTTCTTCATCTTCATTTGATTCTTCGTTTGTCACATTCTCCTCTGAACTAAATTCTTCGCTTGTCACATTCTCTTCGCTTGTCACATTCTCTTCGCTTGTCACATTCACTTCGCTTGTCACATTCACTTCGCTTGTCACATTCCCTTCACTTGTCACATTCACTTCACTTGTCACATTCTCTTCACTTGTCACATTCTCCATTAAAGTAGACTGTTCAGTTATTACTTCTTCTTTTGCATTAGTCTCTTCGGTTTTTTCATCCTTTTCTTGATTTGAACCATTTTTCTCAGTCTCTTTATTCTCTGAGGTAATTTCATTTTCTTCTTCGCATCCAAATGGAAATTTTTTAATTAATCTTTTAATATTAGCTGATACTTCAATTCTTATGATACGAAAATCTCTTCGCATATAATTAAATCCTGGTCCATCTATTCTACCGAATTTATTATAATGTTTAACCCAGCTCGGTAGTAGTATTTCTGGATTTTTTCTCCATCTACCCTTCTGAAATAATTTTTTTTTTTTTTTTTTTTTTTTTTTGAGAATACTACATCGGAAATTTTGATCAAACAGCTAAAAAAAATCAATAATGATCAATCCACACTTCCAGTTTAATATTGTCTTCGCAAATAATAAATTAAAAAATACTAAATGCAATATTAAAAAGATAAGATATAAATTTAAATTCTTTAAACTTTTAATTTAAGCATGCACTTTTGCATAATATGTGCACACATATTGAGTTATAAAATAAATATAAAAAATGATCGAGAAGAATTGCGAAAATTGGAAATGATATATGATCGAATATGAGCACAAAAAATATATTGATAAGAATTTGATCAGAACGAAGATGAAATTTAGAAAAGTAAGTTAGCACCAAAAATCTGGCTAAAATTAGCAAACCAAACAGTCTTTGTTCTGCTGGCGCTCTTTTAAATGACATCATCGCATTAGTCTAAAATAGATTGACTATTTCCAAGATAGCTTCTAAAGCGCAAAGTGATTCGAGAATACAAAACTAAACTGCAACAATTATTTCATTAGTTTAATTAATGTTATATAAAACAAGCATATCTTACTATGAAAATTAGCATTAGAACTTCAGTTGGTATATTATTTTTCTCTCCGAAGTTGAATATGCTTAAAGTTGACATTAGCACTTCACAAAACTTTCGTGTAATTTCACGCCTCTGTTCCTCTGGACTTTTCTCGGGTGGTTTATTGTCTGAATCTGTTGCCACTGCACTGGTAGATGGTCCTGGTTCAGGTGGCCTTGGATCGGGACCTGATGCTTCTGGACCAGCTATTTCTGGATCTGATGGTTCTGGTTGTTCTGAATCTGATGATTCTTGATCGGATGATCCTGTCTCGGTTGATTCTGTCTCGGATGATTCTTGATCGGATGGTTGTGGATCGGATCGTTTTGGATTGGATGGTCTTGGACCGGATGATCTTTGGCCGGATGTTTTTGAACTGGATAGTTCATTGCTTTTACGGGCTGAATTTTTTCGAGAAATTTTCCTACGTTTTGCTCTCCAAGCTTTACCCTTCTTGCGGGCCATATTTTTACTGAAAATAAATTAACACAAATTTAGCCTTCTCCTAAAGGAACTGACAAAAAATTAATGAGTTGCCGAATTAAAACAAAATTATCATTCTTTTCCTTTTATTTTATTTATCATACAAATGATATAATATTACTACTGTTCATGAAAATTTTAACAACACTTTAATAATTTCCTCACTTCCATTAAATGATATTAAAATTTACCTACTGTGAAGTTTCTTACCTAAATTAAAACAAGAAAAAAAAAAACTGGCCGCAAACCAATCATACAATGTAAGAATAAAAGAACGAAGTGATATATTTGCGCTCAAATATAGCGCTTAATTTTTCTGATCGTCCGTTCTTTGATCAAAGAAAAGCTCTTAATTCTACTAAAATTATTTCCTCCTAAACAATTAACTTTTGTACATTTTTAAAAGATGATGATAAAAATTATGACAATCAAATTGCGCCATTATCAATTAATTTACATTAATGAAAGATAATTCCACTTGCAACCATGAAATGATCATTTTTTTTTATTTTTCTTAGTTTTATAGTTTTAGAGAATGTTATAATAGAGAAAAATTGTATTTCAAATGAAATCAGTGATAACTGTGAAAAATTCCAACTAATCTTTAACAGCGGTTTGTTTTTAAAAGATCAGAAAAGAAATTATCATTAATCATATAGGAAATATCAAAAATTATTATCAATTAGTGGAAACATTTCAAACATACAATATTATTAGTCGAAACAATTATTTGATGTAAAAAAAAAATTCTGCATGCTTGCACAATATTCAGAGCCAGAAACTTGAATAATTAGCTAAATAATCTGAAATGATGAGTGTCAATTCTCTATTCTCATTTTTTAAAGCGTAAAAAAACTATTTCGGAATATTATCGATTATTTTCCGCCTTTTTAAATTGTTTAAAATGAAATTGTCTATTTTAAAAGGAGGAAAAAAAAGAATTTTCTTTAAAAAGTGCATTTTTGCATGAAATTTATAAATTTTCAGTTGCTTAAAAAAATGGAAAATTAGTTAGAATAATATCAGTTGAAATAAAAATATCGCATAATATGAATGAAATAACTAACTTTTGTACAAAATAATTTGTGTCACAGTTAATTCTTTTTTATTTTACAAAAAGCTGTAAAAATCAATATTCCTCAATTATAATTGAAATTAGATGATTATGTTATTTTTTTTTTCAATAATTTAAACTACCCCAAAAATTTCATCGCCTTTGTAGACCACTCATTACCTGTCAAATTTCTAATAATCAGTGAATGTTAGAGAGTTAATGGATGAAGAATGAAGGATGAAAAGATGTATCAGTTGTGTTTAATTTCATTCATTCTTGTCACCTTTAACAAATTACCTACAAATTCATTCACTTTCTTACCTTTGCATCACTTTTCATTTAATTTTGAAACGAATCTTTGAAAAGTCTCATTTCTTACTGATTACTTATACTGTTTAAGGCAATGATAAAGTATGGCCTATCATACTTTGTAAGAGTGAAGATTCTAGCCGTTGTTAAGTACAAAGTAAGGCTTGCTATACTTTACTGGCGTAAAAGTTTGAGGTGCTAAGTGCAGAGTAAGGCCTATCACACTTTATAGAAGTACAGATGCAAAATAAGGCTTATCATACTCTAGTGGTAGTGAAGGTTTGAACTACTGTTAAATGTATTAATTCATTAAAGTTAAAATGACTCATTTAGTAACTAATTGTAAATGCCATTCATTTTTTTAAACTAAACAAAATGTTTGTGCTTTTTTTTTCCTATTTATTCGTTTATTATTTGTATGCTTAGTAAAAGATTGGCTGGTAGAAGTGTAATATTTGAGATATTCGATAATTACTCTAACTAAACTAATTTCTCCTAAATTTTTTGCAGGTATTCAGAACGTAATCGAGAAATTCTTTTACACTACCTTAATACCAATGCTATTGTGACAATGACGCCCGGAAAACGAAAGCGACCAGACCGTCTGTGAAGCGATTAGAACATCCATCCATTCTTTATCATACTGTCGTGGGAGAGAAAATGTTTCATTGTGGGATGTGATAATGGACCGCGTTGTATTTCATTGTTGGAGTAGGGCCAAGTCAACTGACTATATTGATGAAGTTGGCGCAAAGTGGCGTGGGTTAGTGTTGTTGCGGTTTTGTTCATACAAGTAATTAGGCGCAGACTGAATCATATATCATCAGTGAAATTCTCAATAGTACCAATAAATCATTGCTTTATTGTGCGTACCATTTTCCTTTGCTACATTTATTACATCGAGAAATTATGTTTTTCCTCTACTTAGCATATAGTTAGCTTGTGGTAAGGAATGATATACTATTTTCCTGTCTACAGTGTTACAGTCTCAAAGTCGTGACACCACTGCAATATTTAATCCTATTTTCTTCCACCTTAAAATTTAACTTTTTTTTTTTCAATTTAAGTGCAAAAATAAATCTTTTCATCCCATCATTTGGTTCTTTTCTTTGTTTGCTTGAACATTCTTTCTTTTTTTTTTCTTTTTATTTAAATTTGTTGATTTTATTTAGTATGTAGGAGAAGTGTTACTTCTGATGAGACTTTAGGATGATTCATTCATTTCCATTTAATAAGATTTTATCCATTTCAGCTTTTTTCTCTTTCATTTATTGTATATAGATGTTTTTGCGCAAGGAGTGAATTGCTCTGTCATCTTGCAACAAATATACAAGTTTATTTTGTGAATCTTCTGCATAAACCAATATAGTAAAACCAGTAAAACATATTGAAAGCGATAAATAGTAATGGAAAGGTTTTGCCAGAAATCTGAAATTATCTTTTGACAGACAACTGTTAAATCAATTTGTTTTCTTTCTTGATCTTAAAACCTTAAGTTTTGGTCTTAAATGTGCTTAATTCATTTCTTAATGCTAAAAAATTTGTCGTACGTTACTATTTGTGAATTTCCTTCACATCTTAACTTTGAAAAAATCAAGTAAATTATCCAGTTCAATTCATTGCTTAGTTAAATCTTCGATGGTTGCATATAGTTAAAGTGCAACTTACAGAAGTTTTGAAAAGTAAAAATTCACAAGTATTTGAAGGAAAAAGCCATTACCTCGTCAATTTTTTCTCCGTCCGTTTTTCGTGGATCTTCAGCAGTTGAAATACGGCGAAAAAAGCTTTCTCGCTTCATCCGTCTGGGTGGATAATCGGATGACCAGAGTGTTGCCAAACTGCTATTGTCATGCATATTCCGATTATCTGAATTCAAGTAGAGAAATGACCCATTTTGTTGCAAAGCTTTCACTGGACTATCTGAAATATATTTCAAAACTCCTGGTATTATTCCATTTCTCAGAAATCTGCATATTATGTACTCAGTAATAGACTTACTTATATTTGATAATGGAAGTCTAGAATTTGTACGTGAATCATTTTTCGTCAGTTTCATATTCCATGGTTCAGTTTGGGTATGAAAGTTAGACTCTCGAACCCGTACACGTCGTCTTCTCAAATCTAACTTATCTACATAACCAACAATTGCCAACTGCAAAGGATAATAACGAATGATATCAACAGATCTTTATTTCGTTCCTATTATGAATTGCACTTATTACGGGTAAGATTAAGAGCTTGATCTGGATGCTAGCATAGATCCATCAAATCAGATGATATTTTTACATTGCCATGAAGGTAGCTATCTTCTAATTAGCAATTTGGGCTCGATTATGCTTTCTTTAATTTTCTTTTGGACAATTAGGATGAGGACAAAAAGGCATTATAATTATATTGTTGTTATTATGTTGGTTCGTTTACCTCGACAAGGGATAAGAAGATAAAGCCAACACACCCAAACATCCATATATCCAATGCCTGAATAATGAATCTAAATCAAAATATTTATTTTGCTCCATACTCAATCATTTTTCTTTTCATTTCGTATTATAACTTGGAACAAGTTTATATGTTTAGTAATTGTTAACTTACAAAGTGAGAATTTTGCAGTTCAACTTATTCATTTGTTTATCATTGTAATTAAGAAGTAGGCAATATAAATTCTGTTAAACCATCGCTTGTGAGCATCATACTTTAAATTATAAATATTAAGTTAGTTTGCTAAGAATAAGTTGGAAATTAAAATAACTTTGAAGATGTATGGAAAAAATTAGTATAATATGAAAATGTATGCTTATCTTACCTTTACGTACGACACACGTGGCAAATTTTTGACAATATTACCGAATTGAAATGTTAATGCCATCAGTGAGCTAACACCGAGCGTTATGCGTGCTGGTAATGCTTTTGTATCAATCCAGAATGCTATCCATGATATGAATACTGATAAATATGTAGGCATGTAAGCCTGAAAAAAAAAAAAAAAAAAAATGCTAAATAATGTACCCTTAATTTAATTTTCAGGAAAGAAATTAAATGGAAACACTTAATGATCGAAGTTCATTATTTATTCATTAGAGTAATTTTCTAGTCTTTCTTTCTCTCTCTCTCTCTCTCTCTCTGAATATTATGCTTATATGATAATAAAGACGATGTGAAGTATACCACTTCACATCGTTGATTTTATCGCTACGTGAAACATCAATTACCTGTAAAACGTAATATCCGTAAAGACGGCGAAAAATGAAAACAGCTTCCAGTTGGTCCCATTGGCCAGCTGTATAAAAAAGTGTTGTGTTCTTGTTTTCAGTATGTGTAAGTACAAAGTCTGGCAAATTTTTACTACTCTGGTCGGGAATTGATATAGGTTCCCAATCACGCCATACTATTCTCACTTCCGCTGTATTATATGAATAACTCTGTAAACAGAACATTTTTGATTGTTGATCCGTTCTTTTTTTTTTTTTTGATATTCAATTTGTTGGAACTGTTCACATTTAAGCGTTTAAGAATTATCAGTTCAATGGCAATTTTACTAAACCAGAAAATCTTACAGTTCATTAAACTTTTTTAATTTTTATTCCATAATGTGACTTATTAAATTCCATGTTAGGCTAAA